GTTGTATGATCGATCGTATATAGAAAAATAAAAAAATTTTTTTGATCTAGTGACGGGCTTTTTTTGATTTTTTTGGCGCGAAATGCAAAGAAAATGGCCAGGTATCCTGAAAGGTAGGTGATTCTACTTTTTTTGTTCTTTTTCTGAATTTTTTTACTAGAGTTTTTCTTTGATGAGTTGGAAGATGTTCTAGAAGTCTTTTTTTGAAAAAATAATAACTTTCATAGGTTCAACTTTCAGGATCTTTTTCTGATGCATTAAAGAGCAATCGAGAAAATGTTCAGAAATTTCCGGATTCAAAAAAAATTTACCTTCCATGTAGGTTACAGTCAATTTTCTTAATTATGGTCGCATGTAGAATCAATCACCGTGATTCGAGCTTCATTTTCTACTTTTTCCACCAAATCAAAAAAAATCTTGGCGAGCATGCGTAAGTCGTTTTGGGTCGGTTGAACAGTTTTTTTTGGCTCTAACCATTTAGCCGTCTCCTGAACTTCCTTTAGGTGTGACTAGACTAAAAAAGCTCTTCGCCTTGAGACCTTTATAAACTCGAACGATGCTCCTTTAAACTCTCCGCTGTTTTTTTCTGGATACACTACTATTTTTCTAGACGTCATGAGAAGCAAACAAGATTATCGTTTTTTTCAAAAAGCCCCGAGAGAACAATTGTCATGACATAAGACATAAGACAAAGGTGTACGTTATTAATGACGAGAATGAAGAAAACAACGGAAAAAAGGTGTGAACCGGCCGGAAAAAGCCGACAAAAAAAGAACACGCGCGGCTTTCCGTGTAATCCGATTCGACTCATAAGCCATGCATTTATATACCTTCCAACACAGCTTTCCTCCGGCCATTCAAACACCGAAATCTTTCCTTCTTTCGGCTTGTCACACACTTTCTCCGCGTTTTGTAGTTCTTCTCCAGTTTTGTAGCGTATGGGAAAAACCTCCGTTCCGCCAGTTTTCCCGTTTTGAATTGAAGAAAATCGTTTCATTTTTGGATCAGTTTGTTTTCAGGTAGCTCATTTTACCTTTTATTGCAGGTTGATTATTCTTTTCCCGGTTCAGTTGAGTTCAAATTCGATTTGTTTCGTCTACAGTTGGCTAGCTGCGAAGATTAAGGTCAGAGTTCGATTCTTCTTGAGAATTCCTTTTGTAAAGTCTGAATGTGGGAATCACACGAAAAAGTATTCCTTTTCAACCACGGAGAAAGTTCAGCAAAAGAACTTCAAGAGAAACCGAACCCGGGACACCGTTTTCGAAGCGCAAGGGTGTTAGCCATTACGCCACGCTGTCAAGATTGGTTACATTCCCAAACTCAATTTTTCGTGAATCGAAGTCAGGTTGTCCTGAAGCATAAACGCCACGATTCGAAACAGTCTGACCTGTCTGCGCTCTCTTTTCTCTCGCCTGCAAAATTGAAATATAGTCTATTCAGATTTTAAGTGTCAAGTCGTCTCTCAAGCTCCGCCCCCTAATGGCGCGATAAACCAATCAGAGAGCGAGCCATCCACAGAGTGTTTTTGAATGACGTCATTGCACTTGACATTCAAGATCTGAACAAACTATAAACATGTGAGAGAAAAGAGAGCGCAGAGAAATATTCGACAATATCAATTTTAAAGCGAACTTTGAAACAAACCCGAGTTTGAGCTGGGCTGAACCGAAAAAAGAACGGCCCCATTCATGAAATATGAGCTGCTTGGAAATGAAATGAAAAGATTGGGCGCGGTGCGAAATTCGCAAGTGATTTCCGTGTTTGTGTGAACTTTTGCTTTCTCAAATGATTAAAAAAAACTGCGAACAATGGATAATCAGCAGTGGTGTTCAGTCACTCATTAACCTCGCATGGAAACATCAAACTTTTCTATTTCCCGCCCAGAAATCTCCTCTTTCTTCCCTTCTTCTTCCTTTTTTCTCCCACACACCTGCTCCGAAAAACAGATGCAACCCACCCGAGAAACGGGAAAAAAGAAAAAAGAGGAGGAATGAATAAAATTTTTACGAAAATGAGGGTCGAAGAAAAGTCGCAGTTGGCATGGAAACTTCGACATTTTTTTTTTCAAGGCCCACCATACCCGTCAAAAATCTTCACTTTAAGAAAAAGAGAAATATGAAGCTTTTTTTCATTTTTTTCTCGAAGTTTCCTTTTTTTGGGTCCGAAAATGAGAAAAATAGGAGCTTTCCAAAAAGATTTTAATTGGGAGAGCGCGCCTACCGTAATCCTTTTTTTGAGAAATTTGAAGCATGACATTTGCAGTTTTTTTGATTTTTTTATTGTAATTTTTTTAGTTTTGATGTTTCCATAGTCCGTTTTTCGCGACTTGGCGGGACTTCTCTGCGCCTTCCTAATCTCTCGACGTCTCTCATGTTTACGTGCTATTTCCATGTTTCTCTGACCTCGTCGGTGGTAGAACAGAGAGACGCAGACACGTGAAAACTGTCAAGTCGCGGCGGACAGTAAGAGAATTTGAACTGAAAAGTCCACTTGGAGTCGTGCCAATCTATTTTTTTACAAGAATTGAAGTCTCATGGTCGCAGTTGGAATGGCTCATCGCTCCCGACCAAAACCTACTTACGCGAGCTGTCATTTGATTGCACAGCAGCCAGAATTTGACGATACCGTGACGCTTTAAACCATTCCGAGTGCGACCATGCCCTTTTCTTTGAATTTATTTCTCATCGTTATCTCAAAAACTGTACAAACCTTTGAGAACGTCCTCTTCTGCTCTATCTTTCCCTAACTGTTCTTGAACGCTTTTCCCGAAAATCCCACTGATCCTTCGAATTTTGCAAACCTTTTGCAAATTCTTGTTTTTCTAGAAGGTTTTTCTCAAGCTTCTTAACAAAAGCGACTCGATTTTCACTATAGTAAGTGCACGATTGAGCTATAATCTCCACTATAATCTCTGTTTTTCGCCTCGTTTTCTCTGTTTTTGCGTGGAGAATCATGATGAAAGCTGTCCATCGGATTTGAGAACTTTTCAGTATAACGATTTTTTCACTATGATTATTTCTACTCCCAGGTAATCTAACTTGAAAACGACGGGAACCGGGAAAATGGAGAAAAAACGGAGGCGTGCCGATCGTGAGGCTCTTCAAATGGACTACCAGCAGGAGCAAGACAGTTCAGTTTTTCCGATTTTCGAAAATTTGAATTTCTCTGTAGAAACCTGTCAAGAGCTTACAATAGCCTCAGGAACCTATGAAATTGTCGAATAAGCTCTTAAGGTACTGGAAAAAAATTTATTTCCTACGAGTTTTGAAAAAATTTCATAAAAATTCCTGATGCTTCAGTGTAGTATGTATGCCACGACTTGAAATATCACGGAACGACATTCCGCTGTGCCGCTGCGCGCCTTTGCGAAACTTGGTCGCGATTTTAATTTTTTTTTTTCTTTTATCAAGGTACTTCATGTGCTCCCACAGCAATAACAATTAATAAATTGAAAAGTGACCTAAATTCGAAAAACGCTTCGCGAACGCACGCAGGGGAACAGCGGAATGTCGTACCGTGAAATTTCAAGTCGTGTCACACGGACTATATTTGAATGTTTTGGAGTCGATCCGTCGACTAGGAAAAAAAGTTAGAAAAATTCCACGAAAAAGTCTTACCGTAACACAGTGAGGGACCTCACAGTGACTAGCTTAAAAATTTTGCACATCATCATAAAAATAACAAAAAGACGTTTCAGTTTTTTTTGTACGAAACTCCGCTAAGACGCTTCGAAAAATCGGGTGAAAAAGTATATAAGATTGAAGAGGAAGGTTTTCTCTATGCTTTCCCCAATTTTCTCCGTTTTTTTGGTTCAGTATAGTGCTTTTTACGAAAAACAACAAACACAAAAATCTGAAAAAAACCAGTGCATTTCACCATCGCGAAAAAGGGGCGTGGCTTTTGAGGTCTCTAACAATATGTTTAGTAACTGTGATAATAATTCCAACTCTCAGAACGAAACATGAAATTCTTTGTACCAACGGTTCATCGTGAATCTGAGAACTTGTGTTAAATTAAAGGCCGCATTTCGCCTTCACTGCGAAGCGGTCGCAACGCGGTTTTTTTCGGCGCCAAGTCATGTTTCTCGCTTTTTTTCCACGTTGCCTATTAGAAAAAAACTAGTTACTTTAAATCAGATACTTCGAAAAAAATAGCATTTTTTTGAATAAATGAAGAAACTTTCTTCAGTGATCCCACTAGTGCGAGAATTTCTGAAACGGCGCCAAAAAAACGCATCGCGACCGCTTTGGACCACACTGCAAATGCCGCACCCTGTTTCATTTATATAGTTTTTTTGCGAAAAAAATCAATCGAAGCTTGGAAAGCTTTGATCTTAATGCAGCAAGTCGACGAAACATTGAGATTATGGCCTGATTTATGAAATCATCACGAAAAATTGCAGTGTTCCACCGGAAATTCAGCATAATGGCCGGACTCCTCTGCACGGTCCCGTTCTGCGTCCTCGTCATGCTTTTCCTCTACTTTTTCATGTTCGGACGACGATAATTTTTCTTTCATTTAAATTCATATTTTTTTCTGCCTTGTTTGGAATATTTTATCCTATTCTCGAGGATTGCTGGGACATTTTCATTACCTTGAAGCGAAAAGACGTCTTTTTCAAGACGAGTGCCTTTGAAAAGTTCTCCAAACTTTTATCAATAAAATATTCCAACAGTCGCCAATAGCTCAAATTCTATGATGCCAAATTAGTCGCCCGGTGTAATATTCTGTGAACTAATAAAAAAATTATTCCTAATCTTGTGTTTCTCTAGAATTTTACGATAAAGACATTCTGAAAATCGAGAAAAAAATTTGATTGATTTGTGAAATAATTCATTTATTTCTCTCCAACGCTTGGAAATACAATCAAATTCTATTCATGGGAGTTCTCGGTCTTGTCCTGCGGATCACGAGATGGCTTTGACGAGGCCTTGGAAGGCGTCTTCCCTTCCTTGGGAGCTTCGATTCTCGACGTCGGAGTCGTTTTTTCAGCGATTGCGTTACTTTTTTTCGGCCTGTTTTCCGTCCTTCTCCTTCTGAAATTAATCAAGCTTTTTGATAAAAACTGCGACACAGGAGATTTTTTTCGTGTATCTGGGAACAATTTTAGTGGCCACTTTACGATTTCGACGTTTTAGTGGCCACTACAGTAGGCGATTTAGCGGCCACTTGAGCGAATAAAATTAAGGAGCCTCTTTAAGAGTCTAAGTGGTAGTATTAAAAAAAACTATTGTATTTTTCACTAAGGTGCAACACAGCGGCTTCTATAAAGGTGTTTTAGTGGCCACTTCAGTGCCCTCTCCAAGTGGCCCTAGAGGAGCTTCTTCAGTGGTCATTAGTTGTTGCTCAAATGGTCAAAAAAAACTACTATAGTTATGCACCACAAGCCATTTCTCGAAAAAAAAGTTATGGACAGTCGAATCCAATATCATCTGATAGAACAGAATGTCCAAAAGTCAAATCAGTTTAGTTTTTCAAAAAATTTTGATTTTAGGCCGAGTTACGAAGCTTTTAGTGACGCGCGGGAAAACCGAAAAACATGGCGTTTTTCGAATTTTCGGCTTACGTTTTTTAGGCTTTTTTTTCAATTTTCAAACAAAGCGCTCCCTAACTATAGTTTAGTAGTTTTTTGACGGATAAGGTGTTCCCCTTTTTCTCGAATAATCAGATCATGTTCCTTAAGGCAATTGAAATGGATTCGTATATAGAATAAAAAAAGGTAAAAAGAAAAATGATCTAAATTGAACTGTCATGCTCACCTTTCTCTTCAGCTCTTCCTTCTCTCTCGAATTTCTCGCGTTCATTGCTTCGTTCAACTCTTTAATCTCACAATTAGTGGTCGGTCCATTTCTACACGGCTGAAAAAAATAGATTATATATATATGACTTCTTGAGAACTTTCAAAGAAGGACAAAAGCTCCTTTTTCTATAGTCTGTTCAGATTTTGAATGTTAAGTCGTCGCTCAAGCTCCGCCCCTATTGGTGCGATAAACCAATCAGAGAGCGACACAGAGTGTTTTAATGACGTCATTGCATTTTAAATTGATAATCTGAACAGACTATAACCTTTTCAAGAAAAAGGACCTTGTTATCTGAAACCTACTATTTTTTGGAAAAACATTTCCGATAAAAAGTCACGAAAAGACACGTGTCGCGCCACACCATGACTTTTGAAGGCTTTTTTTTCTAAAAGTTCTGTTTCAGGTTCTCAGTTTTTCTGAGTAGTTTTTGTAAAGTTGTAGAAGACGGACTGCCTCAAGACCGCGCGAGAGCCTCCATGTCCCTTCGCGATCGAGAAAAAGTGTCGGCAGGCGCATAGGGTTTTTTTAACCGCAATGACAGCGGGAGTAACTTTCTTGCGGACGACCGTCAGATTTCTGCGCTTGACGAACTTATTCACCAAATATGCCACTACGTCATATTTTTCTTCAGCATCTAAAATAATGAGATATTGAGGGATGAAGAAATTGACTCGGATTATTAAAATGAGTATACGTTTGAATAATCGACTCTCGAATCTTCGCAAGTTTCTATAATCATTTTTTCTCGACTTGGAATTTTGAGATGAGTAGATTGGCAAGCGTTAAGCGTTGCATGGCGAAGCGAAGCGCGAGGAATCTCGAGGTCGAACGCGAGCAACCATTGAAATCCTTCTTTTTCCAAACTTTTTCAATAACTTCATATTTTTTTATGATTTTAGAAAGATTTATTTGGACGAATAGAAGTATGAAAAAAGTAAATAACTTGTTTTACTACATTTTTCCATGATTGCGTTCAACCTCGGGCTCCCTGCCAAAAAACGCGTCGCAGCCCTTAATACACCCGTGTCGCCTTTCATGACGGGAAGGATTGACTATGATAGCGTTCAAAAATGCGCGTTCTTTTGTTCACAAGGTTTCGAACATTTTCTTAATTCAAACGTACACTTTATGCGATGAACAGCGTCTATAACACTCTCGCATTGTTTCGGAATTGGCTGCGTGTAAACGAGACCTGAAGGAAAAAAAAGGTCGTTTGTTCTTTGCCTATATTAAAGGCATAGTACGGTGTTTCAGTTAAAAGCAGTACTTTGTAGAGCTTTTCATTGAAAATCGAACGGTGATCTTTGAAATGAACCAAACTTCCTAGATTTGGAGAAAAAATAATTCAAAGTCGGAGAGAGGAATGTTTGAGTTCCCGCTAAAAGGGCGCTTTGCAGTAAAGTTGCTCTATGGACAGCAGGCTTCGCCAACTTCCGGATTTTCGCTTTTTTCGTCGTTTCTTTCAATTTTCAATTTTTTCTGTTGTCACCAAAGTTCTTTTCGTCACAAAAGCTTTCTATTCATGTATTATTTGCAAGCTTTGATCGCAAAAATGCTTCTTTGGTGAAAAATGATGATTTTATACAGCTTTCGGTTGGGATAGCGATTATTTGTGTTTTCTTTATTATCGGTGTCTGTTGTCTGTTTGACTAAATGTTATTTCAGAAAAGAAACTCTTAATTTGAAGCAGATGGCCGGTTATTTCTAACAAAATGCAAGTCTAATGAGACGTCCGCAACATCGCGTGCACGGCTACTGTAAACAGTTGTCTGCATACCGATCCAAAGCTTTTTTCAAAATTAAAGGCGGGAAAGTAAAATTGCGTTTTTCTTCTAAAGTTGTCACATCTGTAATTTTTTTGAGTACACCATTCGATTCACAAAGAAAAACTATATAAGATACTGCTTTCACCTGAAACCCCATTTTTTACTGCCCCTAAGCCT